CAAATATCCTAAAATTTTGATTTCTATATATGAAAATCAATTGCTGTTCGTTTGTCTCACTAAAACTCGAGAACGGTAGGGCCGAAATTACTAATTTTGATTTTGAAATGTTTGTCGTAATCCAGGGAAGGTTTAACGACGAGAGGTGATACAAAGTATACCAGGTCACCTGGTAATAAATATTAATGTATTAGATTAGCGACCCCTTTAATCGTATTTCTTAATTATATATACCTGGATATAGCAGATGTCTTGCCGTAATCGATTTGCCTCATGTATACATTCTAGTTGCCTGGCAACGTCTTATATTATACAAAAGTCTAAACACAAACGCAAGACAACGCGATATTCGAGTTAAAACGCATTTAATTGCTTTGAAAATATCCAGATAACTGCTGTTCAACTGACAGTCGAATAAACAGTCATTGGGTACTAGATATTTACTAGGTACTAATATTAAAAATAAATAAGTAAGTTTGAAGACAAAAAGGAACTTTGAACTCCTGGCTGTAACTTTTTTTTGACGTTACCAGCATCGCCGCCATACAAATATTTTAAATGCGATCTTTTAAATGATATTGTTACAATATAATAGGAACAAATTTAGGTAATGTATAAAAAATTACATGCGCGGCTGTATTTACACTAGGTTAAAAAGTGACTCAATTACTTATCAGTTTTACTTCAATAATTATTAGATTGCTCAGATATCATTCTCACTTGATTAAATCTCTCTCTTTCTTAGTCGGTCCCTCATGACTGAGGATCGTAGTCAGTATCAGGGTTCTGGTGACGTCCCAGTAACGAACTTATTAACATACAAAGTTTCAATTGCATAGCTATTATACTTTTGATTTTATAGCTATCGAAAAAACCCAACTTTGATACTTATACACTCACTCACTGATGATCATCAAAACTTATAGGGTATTTTCTGAAATAGTACAAAGTTGAAATTTGGTATGTAACTTAGTATTAGTTCACAGACAACATAAAATCTCCAAAACTTGAAACTTTCACCCCTTTTCAACCTGGAACTTAGTATGAGACTTCAGCAAAATTATAATACTAGTGGTATAAAAATTTATATAGGAACTACTTGTTATAAATATTAAAACACGTATTTCAGGATATTTCACAAATCACCCTTTATTCTTTAAATTAAGTTGATGAAAGTTTGTATAGGTAATCACATAGAAACTGAGGTTTGGAAGACACTAGATACATCAAATTTTCGATATGCATAGATAGCTTTTAAATTTTCGATTTTATTGTTATCTAAAAAACCGCGATTCGGTTCTTTAAATGCATTCATAGGTGATCATCATAACCTATAGGATTCTTCCTGAAGTCGTAGAAAGTTGAAATTTTTAATAGTTCAAAGATAACAAAAAAAAAAAAAAACTGGAACTTTCATCCTCCATCCTCCAAACGACTACCGTAAATTATGTTGCTAGAAGTCTGCAAATTGATATAGGAATGCGTATTTCAGGATATTTCGGAAATCGCCCTACATAGAAACTTCATTTAATGCTAGTACGATCACAATTGTATAGGTATTTTTTTATTATCAATTAAAACAATATGTGTTACAAGGTTTATAATCTATATTTACCTATTTGTACTTACTATATTTACTAATATTATATACGGGAAAGTATGTTTCTTCGTCTTACTTTTAAGGCAGAATGGAGTACTTTATGTATTATTGGTAAGATTTTTATTTGAACATGGTTGAGAGGCTATAGAGTGCTAAAGGCTACTTTTTACAGCGTAAACATTTATACCTCTATTACAACTTTTTATGGTTTTCTAAAACGAATGACGTTATTACCTTACATTTCACAGAAGTGCCTCTAGTGGAAACCATAATGAATTAAAAACGGCAGTAAAAAGTCAAATTTGTTTGAACTATCGAATAACTTATTAAGTGTCTGCTACACTCACGTCGTGCCGACGCGATTTAATACTGCTTAATTAACAAGTTTACTACTTTTTTCTATTTAAAATGAAATCATAAGCGTAATTAAAAAATACTGAGATAAAAATTCTTAAATATTTACACAAATAAAATTATATGGGACTGATTAAATTTTCGATTTTATTGTTATCTAAAAAACCGCGATTCGGTTCTTTAAATGCATTCATAGGTGATCATCATAACCTATAGGATTCTTCCTGAAGTCGTAGAAAGTTGAAATTTTTAATAGTTCAAAGATAACAAAAAAAAAAAAAAACTGGAACTTTCATCCTCCATCCTCCAAACGACTACCGTAAATTATGTTGCTAGAAGTCTGCAAATTGATATAGGAATGCGTATTTCAGGATATTTCGGAAATCGCCCTACATAGAAACTTCATTTAATGCTAGTACGATCACAATTGTATAGGTATTTTTTTATTATCAATTAAAACAATATGTGTTACAAGGTTTATAATCTATATTTACCTATTTGTACTTACTATATTTACTAATATTATATACGGGAAAGTATGTTTCTTCGTCTTACTTTTAAGGCAGAATGGAGTACTTTATGTATTATTGGTAAGATTTTTATTTGAACATGGTTGAGAGGCTATAGAGTGCTAAAGGCTACTTTTTACAGCGTAAACATTTATACCTCTATTACAACTTTTTATGGTTTTCTAAAACGAATGACGTTACTACCTTACATTTCACAGAAGTGCCTCTAGTGGAAACCATAATGAATTAAAAACGGCAGTAAAAAGTCAAATTTGTTTGAACTATCGAATAACTTATTAAGTGTCTGCTACACTCACGTCGTGCCGACGCGATTTAATACTGCTTAATTAACAAGTTTACTACTTTTTTCTATTTAAAATGAAATCATAAGCGTAATTAAAAAATACTGAGATAAAAATTCTTAAATATTTACACAAATAAAATTATATGGGACTGATTGAAGTTGCACTCGCTAGAATAATTTTATTTCACGCAGTTCCTCAGCGTGTGATGTCACGCACGCTACCGAACATGATGAACATGCGAGGACGTGGCTCAGTAGTTTTGTTAATTCTTTTTTGAGCATCGCCTGCATCTTATGGAGGGCACTAAAAATCTACTTTTAAAATAAAAAATTCTAACTGCAGTTCCTGAAGGGCCAAAAGGGTTTCTCGTGCTGTATGAGGTCTCGCGTTGTCATGGAGCAATAATGGTGAAGATCGATTCATGACTCGGGGCTGTTTTAATGCTAATTTTGCCAACATTGTTCGGAGTTCGGCACAATAGACATCTACCGTTATTGCTTGACCAGATCGGAGAAAATTATAATGAATAACACCATTCTGAGACCACCGAACAGTTACCATTACCTTTTTATTGGTAAGTTTTGCTTTAGGACACTGTTGTGGCGTTTGAACTGGGGTCAGCCATTGCATTTGTCTTTTACGGTTATCATAAAGAATCTACTTTTCATCACATGTCACAATTCCATCAAATATTCCTTCATTTCTGTACCGATTCAACAAGGCAACACAAGTATTAATGATCGTTTTTTCTGCAAATCAGTCAAATCATGAGGCACCTATTTTTCGTATTTTTTCATTTTATTGATTTGACACATATGAATCAATATTGTGGTTAAGGTAACGTTAAACCGTGCCGCAAATTCCTGGGGAGTTTGACTAAGATCGGCTTCCATCATCTCTCTTAATTCATCGTTATTCAAAAATAAAAATTAATAACTAAAAACAATGCCAGAGCACCCAATAAGTCGAAAATAATAAGTGATTTGCAAAGACTTCTACCTAGTCTAGCCATAAGTTCTGTTACAAAGAAAATATCCGTTGTATAAATATAAACACTTAAATCTAAAACAACGAAGGTTACCACATCCGGACGCGATGGGAAGGAATTTAATCCGGGGCCTACCAACCGTGCTAGTCACTTGGTTACAGAGGTCGTATTTAATACCTACATTTAATGTTGTTTATTCAGTCTAAGCTGTCGACATAGGGAAGTTATAAAAATTATGTCATTTGTTCGTAAATCTACGGCGGAGGAACTTGTTCTGAGAATAACCGACAAAAAACCCAGCAATTCACTTTTTTCTTTCTATTTTGTTACTTACGCAGACGTCACATTAAACTCGGACCCAAAATTCATTCAAAATAATATAAAAACAAAACTTTGCTAAACAAAACTCTTATTGCTAATTTAGAAAATATCCGTGATTCAAATATAGTTTAATAATAACTAAGTTTATCGGTCCGTTTATTTATCCACGCAACCGCTTTTGTTACGATTTGACCTTGGCTATTTCAAACACTCCATTCATTTTGCAAATGAGCTTTCTAAAAGGCGAATATTAATAAAAAGGGCATCGTAGCCTAAAATATCTTTTCCTACAAGGCCGTATAATTTAAAGATTTATTAAAATTATTGTTTTTATGATAAGTATCACCAAAAACGAGAAAAAAATCAACGCAGTTATCACAAAAGAACTAGATGAAAACTTATTGCTAATATTATAAAATATTTTGGATTTCCAAAAAGACTACCTATAAGTAGTCTTTCTAAGCAGCAGCTTGGCAGCAGCAGGAAACAAGTAGTCTTTTTTAATCTAATTAAAACTAATTAATTGCCTTAAATCTAGCATAAAAAAACAGAATATCGTTATTGCAAGTACATGGTTATTACATTTTTAGTTATGTAAGTAGTTTTTAGAAAACAAAATTTATTGGAAAGTTGTAATTACTCAGTTGAAAAAGAAAAACAATGAGATTTTTGAAATCGGTCAGTTCATTTGTAATTTCGGAGCCTTTCAAATAAACAAACAATCACATCTTTCCTCTTTAAAATATTAGTACCTACACTTTATACGTGTTTATTTAACCCGAACCGCGTGTCGCCCCGCGTTGGTTGGTGGGTGGTTCTCGATTTTATAAAACATATTCTCGAAAAACGGTAATTTAATCAATTCCGTTCCCTTACTTAGTTATGGAACCGATATCATAATTCGTGGCCACCTACGACGCCCACGGGCTAGACATAATGTCTTTAGAATGACACAAATTATGCACTATACATTTTATTAGCATTAACATTATTTACTTTTTGATAATAGGGTACTACGATACTTACGATGTCGGCGAATTATGGCACAATCACCACCACATCATGTTGTTATTTATTAACAAATATTTCAAATGACTATTATTTTTTTTCAAGTTACAGGTACAAACGTTGTTTACTTTAAACCATAGGGAAAATTGCTGTCATGACGCGAGTGACTAAATTTGCTTTGTCATGACGCCAATGTAAAAACAAAAAGAATTAAAACGTGTGTTTAAATTCTCTTTGGAGAATACCTATCTTGATAAACACTAGCGTAAAAATATAGTGATGAAATTATATTTGAGTTATCGATTAATATCAATAACGTCTTTGATTAATAGAAACCTTGGAACAAATAGGTAAGTTTATCCAAGGTAGGCATAAGAATCTTATAGGTATCTTGGTAGGTATAATACTGAATTTATATGACATGATGAAAGCCTATCAACGAATATGAAATTTTGTCTAGTTTTCGAAATGCTAATACGATTCCAAAGAAACGAATTTTTCGATAATTTATGAGGCAACGAAGCTTTATAGGACCTGACACTGCCTTTGGTTCACAGATAATCTTCAAGGCTTTTTCGATTAATGATTTTAACAAAATTATAAGAACTTTCGTTCGGGATAAATAGAATAGACCTTCAGGTCAGGTGTCATGTTAATTCGTAGGAGTAGCGTAACAGAGTGGTAAGTGTAAGTTTTACGATAACGCGTTCACTAGTGAGTGCGTTAAGAATTTGTATGGAGATTTGTACTTCTTGGTAGTTACCGCTAGGGGCGCTGTACCGGATTCCATACTAAAATCTTAATGCGCTCACGATCGACAGTGAACGTAAACGTCAATAAAACTTACACTAAGCGCTCAGTGCGCCGTACCACCGTTTATTTCGTCCTAGGTATCAGTTCGTGAAAAATTTATCTGGCGAGAACATGATAATTAAATCATATAAATTTAATTATAGAAATCTAATAATAATAAAGTTATTATAATACAAATAAAAAAATGTAAAAAGTAAGTATATCTTCGTGAAATATCTTCTAAGTTTTATCTATTACGGAAAGCCCAGAAGCGGGGTATGTAGTTGAGTTTTGACTTTTTAAACCATTAGTGTGTAACTACACAAAAATACAAAATGGTTATAATTTTCTTATCAGTAGGTAAAGTAATGTTAAAAAAAAATATAATTTTATAAACATTGTATTGCATCAACACAGAATATAAATTCATTGCATACCCCAAGACTGGTATTTAACAAACTATCCACTTACATGTTGTACAAAAAAATATGATTTGAGTTTACATTTGAGATTTGTTTTAGTAATGCTTTGTAATAGAGGTTGTTGTATGTTATTAAGCAAACGTGGAACTAAATAGGTTGTCATTCTTTCCCCATATATGTTTTTAGCATATATAGTAGCAAGTTTTTTGTTTGTTATTTTGCGTGTGTATATTTTATGTTATATATATATTTTTTTAGATTTCTTTATTAAAGAATTGTTCTTTTTTTATGCTAGATAGGCAAGCATTTTTAATAAGCTATATGTTATATTTTTATTATCTTTAACAATGTAATCAGATAGATGCGCTCAGAGCCTTTTTTTCATTGTTTTATCTATTACTCCGAAATTCAAAATTGTTATATTATTATTGTTTCTTTACGTGTAAAGACCAGAAATGTGACATTGGCGGAATTGTATAAACGTAAATGGGCCATGATAAAAAAAAGAAGTCGCGAATGTTGATGTGTGCCATGTTAAATAATAAATTTTCTTTTTAAAGCTATCCTAACAAAAAAAGGGAAAAATAGTAGCTTTAATTGAAAATGGAAGCTTTTATATTTTTATTTGCAAAATGCAGACTTTGCCTTGAACGGCCAGGTGTCATAAATTTGTTTGGAAGTGGAAACGAAGATCTGCCTGAAGATGTTTATCTATGCACTGGATTGAGAGTATGTATTAGTAGGTAGTTTAACAAATTAGGCATTAGCTTAGTTTTATATTTAGACATGGAAATATATTATTTTTTGAGAACAAAAAAAATCTATTTGAAATGTATCTTTGTAACCCCTTGTGGAGTAGGTAGAGAGAACCGAGCTTCCCATAAAACGGTCCTTACATATATATTTCACCTCATCCACTATCATTGCTCTTTTCATACATACTAGTTGGTTTTTATGGCTTCTGACTTTTTCTTATAATGGTATGCAATGAGTCTTTAATTGTAACCAATTATTTAATTTAAAAAATCAAGTAGTTATCCCTTTAGAATATGTTCATTACATAAAACTCTAAATTTAAATACTTGACTTAGTGTCAATTTGTATAAAATTATAACTATGTTAATTCTGAGGATGAATATTTTATCCATTTTAGGTTCCCATTATTAGACAAAAAAGCTTTTTAATTTATTTCTGTGTGTAAGAAATAATTTATTTACAGGAACATTATTTGATAATCAACTATTTGGGTGTTTTGGTGATAAATCTAATATATTTATCCCTAATAAATAAATTTGAATAAAATATAAATTTTGAAATTATTAATATGAGACAATTTGTTACCTTTGTTTTTATTTATTACAATTTATTGTAGTGGTATCTACCATTCTAATTTGTATTGGAATTCTAGCAATCCCATGTTGTAATTTTTACTTTATTACTCTATGAAAGTTTATAACAACATATTATAATTAATATGTAATATTATAAAAGTAAATAATAACTTCATGGATAATATACTAACAACAATGATATAAGCTTCTTTCAACTAATTATCATTATTGTTTTTGTATTTAGGTACACCCATCAGATAATTTCCCTCAGAAGATTTGTAATGAATGCATTGGAATAATTCATGAAGCCAAAAAGCTACGTGTTCGCGCCTTTAAAAATGACACACACTTAAGAACACTCTTCATGGTTGATGGGGTTAAAAAAGATAATAGTGTAAGTAATTAGACTAACTAAAGAGAAATAGAGATGGTGATTAATTTTTGTTTGTGGGTCTATCCAGTACCAAACAAAAATCAGACACCATCCCTATTTTTCTAAAAAAATATGTTTTATATATTTCTCTAAAAATATACATTTTTTGAGTGATCCATAAATTATAATGATACATTAAGATAAAATGTTGCATGACAAACTAAGTACATTTTCTACATAGTTGTGAGGTAGCAATCTCTTATTCCACTTCTTTAATGCCTATTATCTATAATGCACAAAAATATGTATTGAATATTTTTACTAATTAGAAATCTACCAGGCATCATCCCTGTTATAATATTATATTAACCTCATTATGTACAGATTGTCATTATCTTATAATCAAATAGGTTTAAATATCTTCATAGAGCAGCCTACAAAAGGTTACCATACATTTTTGGCCCATGCCTCAACAACACGGTGTATTTTATTTGCAAAATATAGTTTGTCTCACTTAATCTCAAGAATGGCTGGGTCTATTCAAGTGATTTGGTTTTAAAATGTTTATCATAGTCCAGGGAAGGTAAAATGGTGAGAGAAGATACAAAGTACACTGTTTCATCTAGATAACCATAAAAATTTATGTGTTGGTAAGCGCATAACTCAACAACGCCTCAACCAATTTGGCCAAATCTTTTTTTAAAATGTTCGTTGAAGTTCAAGGATGGTTTTTACGGCGAGAAAAATTAGAATTATTGCTGGAAAAACCCTAAAAATAGCCCTTTTCTTTTTCCCATACAAATGATTTGTAACTAAAACGTAGTCAATTTGAGCTTTATTGCTATGGTATAAAGTTCATATTAAATTACAAGCACTCACTGTTGTCTAAGCAATGTAGGTGTGTTCCTAACGTCAAAGATCATATCTATCAAAACAATGTGCGTGTGTGCGTTGGAGCACAGAATACATAGTTGGAGGAGTTTAATGTCGCGTTCCGAAACTCGCGTTTCTTTTGTATTAGTTTCGGCACGCGAGATAAAATGCATCAGTTTCCACGTCATTACATCAGTCAAACAAAAATCGCGTTACCAACAGTGTTTTATTATTTTTAATATCCAAATTTTAAATCAAAACAATTCGTACGGCTTAAAAGGATTTGACTTCTAGTCATATCAAATTTAAAAAAAAAAAAAGTTGTCTGTGACCTTAATCTACTGAGTTTGCTTTTGTCAACTGATACACGAAACAAATTCGTATATCGTGTTTTGTGCAGAGTGTTTACTTAGTTAGTGTTTGATTAGTTCGTGATTAGTGAAAAAATAATTTATATTTGATATGCCTCCTATAAGACGAAGCAATTTAGGTAGAAGAACCAGAAATGCTACAAACCAAGCTAATTACCGATCTAATCGTACTGCACAAAAACGTGACGACGGAAATGAACGTGAAAGAATTCGGATATCACAAACGCGCCAGGTAATCAAACAAAAAACATTGTATACCACAAAGCACTACAATGATAATAATAATAATTATGATTCACATGATTAACAATAAAGCGATTACTTACTTTTAAATCCTTATATATGTTTTATTTAATTATTTTTTATTCACAACGCCCTATCACCAGGGTGACGGTTCTGTTCAGGAGAATTTTTTTAAATACGTAGGCAAAAAAACTGCCACATTACAAATCTTTTTGACAGGACGAAGTCTGTCGGGTCAGCTAGTTCTCAAATAAAAACAACAGTCTCAAAATTGTGTTAGCTGCACCATTTGTAATTCAACAACAGCTGAATGAATGCTCAAGAATTGGTTTATTTATAGGATTATTATTAGGAAAAAAATTGAAGACCAAAATAATGACATCCAACTTTTAAGTATGTGTTTTATTTATTACTTTAAAAAAGCAATAATGGCCTATTTACTTTAAATATCAACAACTTATTCTAATAATAATATTGGCTAGATAAAAAAAAAATCCTTAACTAATACAACATCACAAAAATATCACAACGGTTATATAAATTCACTTTTTATTTTTTGTTACAGGCCCCTGAAACTGTAAATAGTAAGCAGGAGGATTCCATAAATAGTAATATTTGCAAGAGCGAAGAAACAAACAATCAATCTAACGTCAATGACACCAGTGACATGAAAACAGTAATAAATATATTTTTCGTAGTTATTTGTTGCATGTGATTTTGGTGCAGATTCTGATTTCAGTTACAGATAAAGTTAATTTGCTTGGTATCTAAATTCTCAATAAATCCAATTTTATAAAATATCTTTCTCCCGAACAATTTTATGCTTCCAAATCAATGACAATTATATTAATAAAACAATATTAGCTTAAAATAATAATATATAAGATTTTAAATATGAAATTATTTCCTTTCTTTTTAGAGCCCTTTCAAAAACATATCAGTAAGAAAAGATCTATTTGAGGCTAGTCCTGTAAAGGTAAATAATACTTTTAATTATTAACTTGTATATTTTTTCTATTCCCTAAAGAAAGCTCTATTTATAATAAACATTAAAATAATTAAATTACAAACATTGATAATTCTTACATAATTATTATACTTATTCCAGATCATTTCTAGGAAAAGGCCATCATTAAATAGTACAGAAGAACAATTGGATGATATTAATTCATGTAAAAGAATCCAAGTAGATGAAGACACGGTACTTTTTGAATGCTGTGTAAGTATCCACAAAAATACATGCCTCAATTGTTACTAAATCAACCAATAATCCTTGCAAATAAATACTTTAAATATATTCCTTATTGCTTATCTAACAGAATACTATTTACTTTATAGAAAATTTTCATATATACCACTTCATTTAATCACTCATGATTAAAATTAAGTGAAATAAATATTACAGATTTGTTATAAAACATATGACCGTTGGAAAAAGTTGTATTTACACCATCGCCTCCATAAGAAGTCTGAAGTATGTCCGCTAGAAGCTTGCGGCAAGAAGTTTTCTACCAAAGGAGACCTAGAGAAACACATACGCATCCATACCGGAGAGAAACCTTTTAAGTGCAACCAGTGTGAAAGAAGCTTTTCACAAAGAGTGACATTAAAAGTGCATAGGGAAAGAGTACATTGTGTTCTTTTAGTTTAGGTTCATTTAGGAGTGATCTGATCATGGTAAGAACAACTCCCGACTCTATAAGCACTTTAATAGTGTTTAATTTTTTTTTAATTAATCATGTATAAAACTGATAAACGTCATTAGTAAAACACCAGCAATCCCGCACGACTTTAACTTATTATCATAAACAACAATTTAATCAGTGAGTAACCATAACTCAATACAAATAGAGACTTTTAACTACCAATAAAACTTACCTATTATTTTTCCTAAAGATATCCGGAATCCATCTTGAGTCAAGCATCATCCTTTTTGTGACGTTTCCGGTCCAAAACACTACCTCCCCTCTTACTTCCGGCGCCTGTGCTGCCATCTAGTTTGCGGGTAGCGAACCAATGACTTTTAGGCACGAACGCTTACCGTCATTGTACCTACTCTAGATGCACCAGGTAGAACTTACCTGGATTCCGGATATCTTTAGGAAAAATAATAGGTAAGTTTTATTGGTAGTTAAAACTCTCTATTATTTGTTCCGTTCGATATCCGGAATCCATCTTGAGTGATGTGTTTGTTATCTCCTGGTGAGTGCCAATGGTGACGCTATAATGTGTTGCAGGTATAAAAAGTCAAATGTAGTCTGATGAGAAAAAATAATGCATATTATAAGTAATATTGGCTTATCTGTTATCGGTCAATATCATTAACTAAGAATCATTAATTAAGAATAATAAAAATGTAAATACATAGATATCGGAATTTTCTTGATTGTCCGATTTATCAGTTTTCGATAGGACTTCCTAAAAGTATGTTCTTGGCGCCAGTTCACAGTTTCAGTAATTTATCCATCGGAAACAGTTCCAGTTAATTTAGAGATGGAACTGCAGATGTAATAGACCCTGAAGAATCTTCTACATTATGTGCTTCTATTAAGCATTTTTGAGAACAGAGTAGTTAACTCGTGAAATTTACTGCTTTTCGGGGCTCTTTCAATACAAAAATTGATCGCGTGTCCAATACATGCAATCGAATGATTTGTGTCAGTTAATTATTTCTATCCAGGCTGTCATAATTACTATTATCTTTTTTTTTTAATACAAAATGGGACCATAAGACAAAAAATCATTTTCGTCCCTATACTTCAAAGGTTAAAAGGGTTAAATAATGGATTCTGCGACCTTGAAGATTGTGAAATTATGCTAAATTTCCAGCAACTTGAATAGAGTCAATTCTGCCATTCTACGTAAAATTTCCATTGTACTATATACCTGAAGTTAATATTATTAGTGCAATGTCTTCCTAACAATTCAATATTGATAGATATATTTATTATTTTATGATCTAGTAACAAAAATGTGTCATAAAGGGTTGTAGTGGAAGCGCTATTGACCCTCCACCATTACGCAGACATTAGCAGAATTTCCCTACCGGGCACTTGTTATTTGCAGAATTAATACTAGTAGATATTTATAGTCGCTTTACATTAAATCGATAGTTTCAAGATTTTCTTTATTTTATTTTATTCTGTCCGACTTTTAAATAAATTTTCTGAATTTCGGGGGATGAACACCTGTTGCTATACCTATTGTAGTATTTGCTGAAACAAATCGTCAGCCAAGACACTTTGTCCCATTTTGGAACAATGATAATGTACTTACTTGCCTTGACGCTTACTGGAGTCGAGAAAGTATTTGCGGAATCATGTTTGAATAAGGCAAGCTTGCATTTGCACTGATGACGTCATGCGTTATGACCTATTAGCTTGCTCGTCCTGGGAATGACGTGTGCTTTTGTCGATGGAGTAAGTTCACATCTGGTGTACATTGGGCTGCTCGATTTAGTATTCAGGCTATGCATAATTTCTGAATCTGCCTTGTTCGTGTCATAATTACAATAATTTCCTAGATTTGGTCCCCCATCTTTGTTTATGTACGGGAATCGGTACAGTTCTCTTAGCATTTACATCTAGGCATTCCGCGAATTGAAGACTCGCGTGAGTAATTGCCTCGAGTTGAGCACTCGAAGAGATTTCCTATGCACCTGTCCTCGGATGTTGAGCGATTTGCGTTGCATTTATTGGAAGGTATCATGATACAACATTTACTTACCATTTTAAGTCATTCAGTACTGGGTCTGGTAATCCGAATAGGTAGTAATAGTTTTAAGCTGTCGATGTTAGTATTGCAGTGTGCGACAGTGTTATCACCCTGTTCGAATCACAAACGAGGCAAATTCGAGTCTCACCATTAGGAACCTGGCCTGTCTAAGGGACTAACCGCCTTGTACAATCTGATGCTGAAGTGCCATGCGTAGCGTGAAGCGTTCGGTTCAAACAGGGACTTCAT